GACATCTCGGACACAAGCACTAGGGACAATGCTTTGATTAGCTTGGAGGGAGAATTTCATGGAAAACTCACATTCATACTCTATATTCTTGTATTTTTTGTTTAAAAAAAAGCTTGTTAAGTTGAAAACCTGAAAAGGCAACTTAAGCAAAAATAAAGCAAAAATAAGAGTGAGTTGTGAGGATTAAAACAGAAAAATGTGGGAAGCTGGGATGAAAACCAGAAAGGGCACCTAGGCAAAATGAGATAATGAGAGAAAGTATTTTCTTTTATTTCTGCGGGATCCTAAGGGTAACGATGAAAAAAAAAGTTGAGGTTGATAAGAAATATGGAGTTGAAGACCCCTCTTTAGTGTTATATTTTTGGGATATTTTTTGTGTTGTTCTAAAAACACACGTGGATGTTGGTGTTGATACTCTTGTCATTTTAAGGACTTCTTGGGCTGGATTTGATTTACTTGAGATGAGTAAAGGTTCAAGTGTGGGGGTGTTTGATATGCACTAATTAGTAGTTCATAAATGTAACTTTTTATGTTTGATTTGTGTGGATTGTTTACTATTTTATTTAGTTTGTAAATATTTGTGTGATTTTAGTTGTAATTGTATTTTAGTTCTCATTTGTAAGTTGTAAAGTAGAGTTAGGATTTATGGTGTTGGAAAGGACAACTTTGAAGTGAAGAAAAATGATTATTGGCTACCTAGGACAATCACCCGGTCGGGTGGGGTATTGCACCCGATCGGGTGAGACATTGAAAAGCGAAGGTGGCTGGAAACTACAATCACCCGGTCGGGTGAGGTATTGCACCCGGTCGGGTGAGGTATTGCACCCGGTCGGGTGAGGTATTGCACCCGGTCGGGTCTGACTTGACCCGGGACATTTTAACGTGCTGAAGATCACCAGAACGTGGAGGATATCTTATTTTGACCAGACCCGGTCGGGTAGGTACTTGACCCGGTCGGGTACCCGGCCCAAGGTGTTGAAAAACACCTATAAATAGCACATTTTTTCTTCTCAAACAATCATACCTTCTTCCATATACTTAAGCTCAACTTAGAATAGTCTCCAAATGAGGAGCTAAACTCTTCCATCTTGGTTTTGCTACTTTGAAGCTTAATGAATTGTAAATTGTGAGTTATTTTCTTTAATCTTCTTCCTTGAATATTAATTATTAGTTCTTTCCTTAATACTATATATATATATTAATGTTGGGGAGTGTTGCTAAGATGACAATTAGTTAACATCTTGACATTAGTTATAGTAGTATTTTCTTCCTCTATATTAAAGTTGGGGAGTGTTGCTACGATGGCAATTAGTTAACATCTCGACATTAATTATAGTAGGATTCATCTTCTTTAATAATATTCTTCCTTGAATATTAATTAATTCCTATTCATATTTCATATTGATATTTTGAGCATTACTTAAAGGATCAACTAGTTTTGTTTCACATATTAATTATTACTAGAATCAATCGATTAATACGCTTGTTATTAATTCGGTTCGTTCAACGGTAGTCAACTTGGATTATTAATGCATGCGTCTCATGGTTAATAATCTAAGGCGAATTAATTATATTGATTAAACCAATAACCGCTTGTGTTGAGGTTATCAATCTCAATGTTTTCATCTTAAGTATATTGCTACTATCGGGTTAATATACGGCGCGCGTTCTATATTGACTCGGTAGTAAGTTTTATTAATGAACACGTCTCGTTATTAATAACTACCATCGATGAATTGGATATACTCTTCGGTTGAGTATTCGAGAGGAAGATAGTTAAAGATATAACCAAGATCGACGAACATTTCATTAAGTGGATAAAAGCAAAACCAAGTACTTATCTCTATTAATTAAACTTATATAAGTCCGTTCATCTTAGTGTTAATTAAATTAAATCAAATCAAATCTAAAACCCCCCTTGTTACTAGAATTTAATTAAAAAGAAAAGTATTCCTTTCCATGTGGATACGAACCTTACTACACTATACTACGTATAAGTGTTGTATTGTAATTATTATTTTGAAGTGCAAATCACGAAAAAGTGCACGTCAATAGTTAATATATTAATTAGATGTAATATATGTAATTATAATTAAATAACAAGTATATAATAAGTAGATATTAAGTAGATATTAATTATTAAGTATATATTAAGTAGATAATAATATGAGTAGGTATAATATATGTATTTATAAGTAGATAATAAATCTATAAGTAGATATACTAATTGTATAACTAATATATAATATAATGTTTATAGTATATAATAGATACATATACTACTATACTATAAGATGAGTAATACACTTATATATAATACTTTAATATATATATATATATACTTTACATATTAATTAGATGTACTACGTAAACATAAGTAAATAAAAAGTATATAATAAGTAGATATTAACTAGATAATAAGTATATATTAAGTAGATAATAAATATAAGTAATATAATATATGTATATATAAGTATATAATAAATACATAAGTAGATATAATAATTTCATAACTAATATAAATAAATATGATATATATTAATAGGTGTAGAGAGAATTGGACAAGATGAATTGAAGATGGAGATGATTAGAGAGTATTAGAGATGAGTAGGAAGAATTGGAGAATAAGTGTAGAAAAATGTTTAAAAAATAGGAGTATATATAATTTTTTTTGTACCCCACCCCCAAACCCCCCCAAACCCCCCTCTAATAGCTATAGAGCCATTTCAAACTTTAAAAACGGCGAGGAGCAGCCCATTTTTTATTTTTTTTTAAAAGTAGCCGTTACCGGCCCGGACCGCTCCACCAATTCGCTGTCCCGTAGCCTGCCCCCTACCCCCGGTTCGAGCCTCATGGACCGGTACCGGTCCCGGTCGTCGGTCCGGTTCGGTACTAAATAGTACCGGCCCGGTCGAATCGGGCCCGGTCCATCCCCATATGAGATGAATGAAGAGATCATTGAACTTCTATATAAAATAAATATTTTCACTTCTAGATGGAACATAGTTGAAAAATTTTAAGTACATACTATACAATGAACTTTAAGCTTAGATGCATTTTATTATTCATAAAAAGTGAAATGATTTTTCACAATAACTACATATATAAATTACCCAAAAGATAGTAAAAAATTATGTATTGAATGATCATCATAATTATCACTAAATAATATGAGATTGTAATATGTTACCAATTGTTATCATCTTCATTAGACAAGATAAAAAAGGTGAGGATGAACAAAGGTTTATTTGGTAATTTTATGGTTCTCAACTAACTTTGTTAACTTTTCTTTTTTGATTATCCCACTAACTTTGCTACCTTCCTTTTTAAGTAAAAAATGTGTAGTTACGGAAAATTCTCTTTTCTCTATCTGCATAAACCCCAACCACACAGTTTTAATTTATTAATCCTTGTGTCAGTCAAATTAAACTCGGCAAAGTTTTAAGAGACGTAGGGAGTATTAATTATTGTATCTCTAACAATTATCATACATGGAGCTATAGTGCTATACTAGTCTAATATAATTCTATATCAAGTTTTAAATTTTATATTATAAGTATGTGTATATACATTACTTATAAAATGAATCATTTTTTAAAATAAGTTAATTTCATCTGTTATCCGTGTAACATGCGAATAGATTGACTATTAGAATTATTAATGTTGAAAAAACATGAGATCGAATAAGAAGATTCTTCAGGAGAATTGGAGAAGAAACCCCTTCTGATTGCTTCAAATCATTTAAATTTACGGTTCTTTGCTGCTACGCATGTGTGCACCATAAATCAATAAATATGTTTGGAGAAAAGTTTGTCACTTTTAGTCGTTCCACTATTATGTTCTTGACACTTTTAGTATTGATCTTTTATAAAAGTGATACTTTTAGTTCTTCAACTATTATAACATTGACATTTTTAGTCCTTCATCATTGTGGCAAAATCATAATTGAAGAATTATAAGTGTCAATTTAATAATACTCAAGAGATTAAATGTGAGAAACATTGAAGTCGAGAACTAAAACTATCTCCAACATAATAGTTGGAGGACTAAAAACGGAAAAAATAGAAAGTCGAGTATCAAAAATATCACTGCGACAAAAATTGACAAAAATTGGGAGATTGAAAGTAGCAAAAACTATGTTGAAAAATTAAAGGATTAAGGCTTTATTTTGCCTTCATGAGCTGAGGTTTGTCAAATAATCGGATCACCCCAGAAGCTTTTGAAAACTGTTACCTTGTCAAGTCAAACTGTTACCCCAATATTATGATGATATTAGTAGATGACTATTTCTGAACTAATTTCGTGTTAACATTTGCCACTGCACAAATGATTTTTCTAAGAAACTGAAACATATAAACATCTAAATTAATTAATCTTAACGTACATGCAATAAAAATGAAAGCATTCAGTCCCAAATTAAATATACACGATTCATGCTACTATCATTACATTCTAGCCATCATATTTATTTCGTATGGCAATTTAATGTCTATCTTCTTTAGAAAATTGATTACTTAATTAAAGTGCATGTTTATAATTTTCAAAAAATCAGGGAAACCCCGATATGTGACCAAGCAAACATTGGTGGATAATTATCGAATGTAATTTGTTGGTCTGGTCTGGGTTGGTCTGATCTGGTCTGGTCTGGTCTGTACTGGTCTGGTCTGATCTGGTCTGGTCTGATTTCTTTGTATTTTTATAACTATCCAACTCTGATCTGGTCCAGTCTGAACTGGTCTGGTCTGGTCTGGGACGAATTACAGTCTAAGTAAAAACATCCTTATAATCAACAAGAAATTGAATTCTTCATCTAATCTAATAAGAAATTAATTAAGAATAAAGGCGAGCACAAAATAAAACTAAGGAATGTCTATTTCCCAAGAAAAGCTTGAAGTGCATTGTTTGATAAAGCGGAGAATGTGTGTATGAGTGTGTGTGTTTTATTCTTTTGCTTGTGTATAAGAACCCAACGTGGCTAGTAACATTTATTTCATTCCCAACTCAAAAGAAGTTCTAATTAACGAAAAACTCTGATCGATCTAGATACACAGAGTAAGGCTAGGAATTGAAAGATCCAATTAAGGTATGAATTCAAACATGCAGAAACTGTTTGATTCAAAGAAGAGCATGTTTGAAGAACATGTAAAACGTTCTACATTATCAAATAAAGATGATGGTTCTCGCATTATTCGGATTCCGCTACCACCGGGTACGTACTATATATAACTGCTCGGTCGGTGCTAGAAACCGTCAGAGATAGGGTGTAATCCTTCTCCTTTCATGTATACCATGTGGAAGAATAACTTTGAATGTTTGGTAAAGAGTCATCGTCCTAAGTAACAATTCCTCCGTTCTAATTACTTGAAACCTTGACTTTCACATTTACCTAATTTTGACCACTAATATATTTAATTGGCCATCAAAAAACATATTTTGAGTTGTTACACTAAAACACGGGCATAGATTTCATAATTAATTGACAACATTTCTATTATTATTTTGTATGCGTTAATAAATACAGTGTGATGAGATCAAAGCAAAGAAGGTTATTTCTTCATTCTTATATAAATGCAAGAGTCCATTTTTCATGTTCGGTGGTGCACAACTATGATATTACTAGTAATATATTTTACTCTATCGGAAAAAAAAACAAAAAACAAAACAGATTTTGAATTGAAATTTTGAAATGAGAAAAATTTAATATTTTTTAAAAATAATTTATAAATACATTGACAAACAGTGTATTCAAAAAAGAATATTAAATTAAGTGCAGGATTGTCAAACAACAAAGTCCCGTATTTTGATAACCTAATTGCAACTCACGCCTTTGGATTGTCAAACCTAAGGTAGCACTTCTTCTTCTTTATTTATATGTATATATGCAGGAACCCAGAAGGAAGAGCTAGCTATAAGAATAACCGGTGCTGGGTTGATTAAGATACGATGGAATCCAAAAGGGGTATCGGAAACCATACATATGACTGTACCCATTCCTATATCACAAGATCATGACCGAGACGAAACTAAAGCAAGTTTTGATCCGGTGGGCGTCGCTCTCAATCTCATTCAGCCACCACTCAAGCATAAAATACCACCTACTACCAATTATTATATACTAAGTATGTAATATACTATCCTCTGTTCTTTAATAGTTGTAATATTTTGAATTTCACATTTGCCAACGTGTGTATAACACTTCCATTGTCCATTCACCCACCATTGAAGCATGATATACCACCGACTACCATTGTACAAGGTCCAGTGCAGAAAAATCCTGACGCAAGTAACCGTGAGGCGCCAAAAACCACACAGGTATATATCATTACATACATCTTTCAATTCGTTCTTTAATAGGAGTAGTTCCAGCAGTTTGACTTTCATGTTTGTCAACTAACAACGCTCTCATTTCCATTCAGCCACCATTGAAGCATAATACACCACCCACTACCATTGTACAAGATCCATTGCAGCAAAAACCCGACGCAAATAATCGCGAGACGCCAAAAAGAACCACACAGGTATATAATTATATACGTAGTACTATCCTTCATTCTTTAATGGTCGTAACAGTTTAACTTTCGTGTTTAACAACGTACAACACTTTCATTGTCATTCAGCCACCACTAAAGCATAATATACCACCGACTACCATTGTACAAGATCCAGTGCAGCAAAACCCCGACGCAAATATTCGCGAGGCGCCAAAAACCACACAGGTATATAAATATATGTGTAGTACTATCCTTCTTAAGTTGTTTAATAAATGTAACAATTATACTTTCATGTTTGCCAACGCACAACACTCTCATTGTCATTCAGCCACCACTGGAGCATAATATACCACCGACTACCATTGTTCAAGATCCAATGCAACAAAACCCCAACGCAAATAATCGCAAGGCGCCAAAAACCACACAGGTATATAATTAGTTTATGCGTAGTACTATTGTATTTACTAGCAGCACCAAAAGATTTTGTCACTTTTCGTAGTACTCGAATTTTAATTTTTCTATTGATAATCCTTAGACTATTACGTGAGAGACACTTTTAATGTTTGACTTAAATTTTCTCACGTTTAGTCCTCTGAGTATTGTCAAATTGATATTTTCGATGCTTATAACAGTTAAAGGGCCAAAAGTGACACTTCTTTACTCAACGTATTATTTAGACGTATTTCATTTATATTCTGCCCCCAACTTTTCTTCCCGTTTCCGCCACTGCTTACAATCCATTGATCCTCCATAGAGCATTGATAGAAGTGATCAAAATGATGGAAATGCTAAAAGAAGAGTTGAGGATGAACGTGATGGCGGCGGCAGCCTTGAATACCGGACGACGAAAAGCAAAAGTATGGGTAACCAAGAAGAAGAAAGACATACCAGAACTCCGGCCGCAGCGGCGGCAACCATGACAGAAGTAGCCGCCGGTCACAGTGTTGCAGATGCGGCAGCAGCTTATTTGGAGGGCGCAAAAAAGCTGATAAGGACTCATCGACGGGAGTTGTTGAATGTGGCTGTGGGTTTGGCGATACTAGGCATTAGCATGTATGTTGTTACCGGCCGCGGCCGCCATGATTAGATCCATCCAACCTTTGAGAAACTAAACCTGTTTAATTTAATGTATCTCGGATGAAGATTAACATTATTGTTCTATTCACGCATATATAAATTGTAAAAGAATAAATTTACCCTCTGCGGGCATATATATAAATTGCATGCATGTGATTGATTCTATAATGAAATAAAGAAAATATGAAGTGCAACTTGTTTATATGTTTATGCACGCATAATTGAGATCTTTGAGTTGTTTATACATGTTTATATATATATATGTTTATGCATGCATGTGATTGATTCTATAATGAAAATTTACCCTCCATTTTTTTATTGCAATTCTTAGGCTTTCACTTTTGTTAACATACAACTACTATAACTATACTACGTATTTAATTAAACATTGATAATTAAATATTAGTATAACAAATTAATATTTTGAAAGTTCACTCTATGAAAATTTTAATAGAAACTGTTCAGTATAAGACTCAAACATACACAAAGTTCAAAAATAGAAATAAATACTCCACGTTGCGAAAATGTTCTCCAAATTGACTTTTCTTGGTTAGTGATATTCAACTTTGATCAATGATATTTTTTAATACCAAATATAACTTATTTAGTTTTACTCTAAATAAGCTTAAAACTATGGCAAAAATCCAAAATAGGACTTGTTATGTTTTTATTTCAAAATAGGACCATATTATTCTTATTCTAAATATACCTATTTTTTCATTCCATTCTTACCCCTCCTTTAAATATGAGTAAAAGGTAGTCAAAAAGTCAAAATTAAATTTTTAATTCATAATAAATTCGAAAAAAATTTAAAAGAGTCATAGAAAATAACAAAAAATCAATAAAATATTTATAAAAATAAAAAATTTAAAAAAAATTAATTTTTTTTAAACAAATACTAAAAAATAGTAAAACTCCATAAAATAATTAAAAATAATCGAATGCCTTTCCCACCGCCTGTACTACCTCCCTGCACCACCATCTTCGATCGATGTAAAAAATGTCATTTTTCTGAAAATGCCAAAAATGGCATATTACTCTTTGAGAATGCCAAAATTTTCATTGAATCTACCATAAATATGGCATTCCGAATGCATGTGGATTTTTTTTTCACCGATGATCTGGGATGGTGGTGCTTGGGCGGCAGAAGTAGGTTTTTTACCGTTTTTTAGTTTTTTAAAAAAATAATTTTTTTTAATTGTTAATTTTAAATTAGATGCTTTTCACACCGCTAGTTATTATTATTATTATTATTATTATTATTATTGTTATTATTGTTATTATAATGTTATTATTATACTATTATTATTATTATTACACTTATTAAATAAATATAATTATAATAATAATAGTTATTATTATGATTATTATTTTATTATTATAATTATTATTGATATTATTATTATTTTATCATTATAATTATTATTGATATTATTATTATTATTAATTTTATTATTATTGTTATTATTATTATTATTATTATTAAATACCAGTTTAGAAAGTTAAGATCAGATCAGAAGGATTCAGATCATATCAAATCAGATCAGAAACATCCAGATCAGATCAGACAGATTCAGATCAGATCAGACAGATTCAGATCAGATCAGATCAGAAAGATTTGGATTAGATCCGATCTTAAAAAATTCAGACCAGACGAAGAGAACATCTTCTAACCCTTTATGGTACCCTTTCCCGCCGATGTGGCCTCAACCCGGGCATAAAATCTTAATTTCCCGCCCGCCGATCTAGAAAGCGAGACCTTGTCCACCCTTAATCGACGTATATAACACTACAAAAAAACAGCCCATTTGTCACGGATTTTTGTCAATGATTCGGGCCGTGACAAATTTGTCACGGGCTTTGTCACGGAATATTCAAGGCAGTATTTGTCACGGAAAAATCCGTGACAAAATCCGTGACAAATATTTGTCACGGATAAAATCTGTGACAAAAAGTTATTATAGTGATTTAAGTCAGGATTGAAACATTAGTTTAGTGTGAATTACTAGTTAAATGTAAATATTAATTAATTGAAATGAGTTTGAATTGATAATATTATTAGGCAATACCCTTAATTTAGGATTTAAATTGATAATATTAGTTAAATTTAAATATTAGACAAATCCGGTCAAGATTCCAACTGACGTCTCGATTGTCGCTACTGATGCCTCGACTGTAGCTCCTAAAGCCTCGACATCCGATGGGCTTTGTCACGGACCGATCCGTGACAAATCCGTGACAAATTTAAAAATTTGAATTTGTCACGGATTTGTCACGGATCCGTCCGTCACAAAGTCTTAATATAAAACCGACCCTTAGCAACTTTTTTCATTCCCACGCTTCCAAACCCTAATTCCTCTCTCTCGGCCAACCCTACCCTTGCTCTCTCTCAAAAATTTTCTTCCCCCAACGCTGCTCCTCGCCGCCGTTACTCGCACCGGAGTTTGCCGCCCCTTGCTTCCGCTTGCCGCCGCCTTTCTTCACCTTTCTTCGCCGTTCCTCGCCCTTTCTCAAGGTCACGTTTCTCATTCTTTAATTTTTTTAATTTGTATGTTTATTAATATTTGATTAAAAATATTTTTATACGTCAAATAATGCATGTTTTTCATTATTATTTTTCAACTTGATTAATACTCCGTATTTGATTAATATTTATTTGTTATTCAAAAAAAATTGTATGCATGTTGATTATTAATATGATTATTAATATACTTGGTTATGATATTCATGTTGATTACTAAAATGCTTGCTCTTGGTCATGGTAGGCTCTTGTTTATTTGTTTAGATGTTTATATACTCAAATGCATGTTTATATAGTCAAATGCATATTTATATACTCAAATGATTGTAAATATTTTTAAATGTTGTTGATTATATTTTTTTATGAATGCATGTCCTACTTCTTCTAGATGCATATATACCATAAATATTTATTGTTTAATTATATGTTTATATCTTTATATCGATTCAAAATTATTATATGTTTACATGAGTATATACTCAAATGCATGTCTTTATACTCAAATCAATTTAAGTGTATTAAATGTTGTTGTTATATTTTTATATATTCAAATGCATGCTCATTTTCAGATATTTAGAACATTTTCGGATATTTTTGAACATTTATTTGTACTACTATTTTAGACATTACATTTTCGGACATTTTTGGACATTTATTAGTTCGTCCCCCTCATGTTAAACTTCCAAAAAGTTTAACATGTTTAATTTAAACTGTTTATTAAACTGTTTACATTTTCAAAATTATTAAACTGTTTAATTAATACAACTGTTATTTACAACAAATATAAAAAGTTAATATAACAACTTAATAAACTGTTTTTTATAAAATGAACACTACATTGATAAACACTAATACAAAAATAATAATACATAAACACACAAAAAAGATTACAAAAATTTATCCCCTCATGTAAAACTTGCAAAAAAGTCTAACATGTTTAATACAAAAAAAATCACTGTTTTTTATTATATAAAAAACATAAAGAATTTACAAACTGTTTTACGAAATCAAACGTTTACAAAAATATAGCCCCTCATGTCAAACTTGCAAAAAAGTTTAACATGTTTAATACACAAAATAGACAACTTTTTATAAAAAAAATTACAAAAACTGTTTTTTTAATAATAGGAAAATTAATGAACGGTTTTCCGTAAAATAAACACAAAAAACTTAGTCTCTAACAAACTGTTTTCACTGTTTTTCGAAATTAATAAACTGTTATCAAAATTAATTTACAACAAACTGTTTTATTAAACCATAAATAATAAACTCTTCCATCAAAAAAATTAACTGTTTTATCCAAAAAATTAATAAGCTGTTTTCCGTAAATCAAACACAAAAAATTAAAAACTCTTTTTTACAAAAAATAATACATAGTTTTTCAAAGTTATAAGAACACCTCTTTTGAACATGTTGTGCAATTAAAACAAAAATATATCGTTTCCAAGTTTCAGAAAATTAATTTAAAAAAAAAATGACCCCCTCATATTAAACTCATACACAGTTTAATATGTTATATTATTTCCAAAAATAAATTGTTTTAGTAAAACTTGTAAATGATAAAATGTTTTATTATTATAATCCTTATAATATCTCAAAATATACCTAAATCATTATAGATGAGTGAACATGAGTGTCGCCGTTCCACCTCTTCCCATCGTGGCACCTCCAACTCATGACGTAACTTGAATGCGCAAATTAATGTCAATGTTGACGCCAATGACGATGAGGGACATCTGCAAACACCTCCGTCCCAACACTCTAATGCACATGCGAGTACCTCGCATGGCGAAGCTGCAACAACCACCCGTGGAGGTTCATCTCTCCCAGTATATGCCCCCCAACTGAAATCGAGCGCAACAATACCAATGCGCTTCGGGTGACACCACTATCTGTTCATAGGTAATTAATTACTAATTCTCTCTAATTAGAAAGAACGGAATTCATTTTTCTGTAACTTGTCGTAAATATTTTTATCAATTATGAATTTTTTAAGCGATAATGCGGTGTTGCAAAGAATCAAAAATATAGTTGCCGGTCATTACACTGGACCTTGTTCGACCTACTTGGAGGTTCCGGCCGACACCCGTGAGTTTTGGTGGCGGATGTTCAAGGAAAAAAATAAATGATATTTCTCACATTTTAGAAACTTAAATTTAACAAATGATATCAATTTTTTAACGAAGGCCCAACATCGATGGTATCCATCCCAAGACGCCGCTATTCTCAAAGAATACAAATCTAGAGTCTCGAGGTGGTTGAGACCCACTCTTAGGACTGCCCGGAGTAAGTGTAAAAAACTGGGATTCCTTGGCGATGATGTCTGGAAGGACCTCATTCATCATTGGTCTACGGATCCAGATTTTTTGAAGAGAAGCCAATCCGGAACTCCGAGAGAGCCAAAGAGATACAATGGCACGGGGGCCGCAAACCTCAAGATCAAGATAGAAAAGATCTTGTAAATTCTACTTCCGTGAAAATTATTTCCATTACATTCCCTCATTATATATATTTCTTTTTAAATAACTTGAAATCTGTGTAGGAAGGGTCAGGACCCTCGAAAAAGAGGGTGTCACCATGGCAACTTATCATCAATTGTTGGAATCCGCACGGTGCTGAGTCGTCGTTGCCAACTCGCCTCTCCGAACTTGAAGTAAATAACGCAACTTCAATTTTCAATTAATTCCGAATTTTTTTATCTTGATTATAATTAATTTTGAACTTGTAAAAGAAGTATGAGGAAGAGCGAGGAAAGAAGGTCATGGAGAGCGGTGATGACTCTGATGCCGAACTTGATGAGTGTCAAGATGATGATGTCATCTTGGTGACCACTGGAATTTACAAGGGCCGGGTGCCCTTCATGGGGGCTGAAGGCATACAGATCTTGCAAAACTCCAAAGGAGCAAGCTCATCTTCTCATCAAGTGAATGATGAACGGGATGAACGGATTACCCGCCTTGAGCAATAGTTGGCGCAACAAGCGGCGGAACGGGCGGAAGAGGAACGGAGAACTAGAGAACGGATGGCTGAGTTTGAACGTCAAATGAATCGTTTCAATGCAACCTATCGCCCTACCATGCACATTCAACAACCCGAGATGACCCCTCAAATTTCCTTCATGGGTGGCATGGGCGGCATGGGCGGCATGGGCGGCATGGGGTTCGGCAATTATAGTCATCTGTCCAATAATTTTCTGTATTCTTATTATGATCAACTGTTTCAAACTCCCGGAGGACGCGGCAGTCAAGGGGGCAGCCGAGCGGGCCGCCAAGCGGGTACCCGTGGCGGCAGGGAACCCGAACATCTCAGACATCTTGGCGATGATGACAATGATGATGACAATGATGATGATGTCAATCTGGAGTTGTAATAATTAGTTTATTTGAAATTTGAAATTGAATATTTATTAAATTATTGTTATCATATGAATTTCTAATGATTATTGTTATTAATGTTTAATCATTGTGTATGTTTAATCATTATGTGATTGTATGAATTGTTTTTGTAGTATTAAATTATTATAAAAATAATAATTATTATAAAAAATTTAAACGAAGTTTTTAAATTTGAATTTTTATAAAAAAGTCGTAGATTTTTTTTTAATATAAAATGTTTGTCACGGATGCTGGCTGTGACAAATTTTCAACTTTTTAAATTTTTTCAAAAAATTATTCTAATTATTCCGTAACAAAAAATATTTTTTTAAAAAATAAAAATATTTTGTCACAGATTAATCCGTGACAAAATGAAAAATATTTGAAATTCAAAAATTTCAAGTTACCCGCCTAACCCATTTCGGATATTTCAAAAAAAAAACAAAAAAAAATTGTCACGGATAAATCCGTGACAAAATGAAAATATTTGAATTCAAAAAATTTCAAGTTACCCGCCTAGCCCATTTCGGATATTTCAAATAAATTCAAAAAAAACTATAGTCACAGATAAATCCGTGACAAAATGAAATATTTAAAAAAATAGAAAAACGTTTGTCACGGATTCGTCCGTGACAAATAAATATCGGCGTTGCTCCGGTTCCTTGTTTTGTCACGGATGGCGGCCGTGACAAATCTGTGACAAAGTTTGTCACGGAATATTGGCCGCGACAAACTTTTTAGTCACGCATTTTGTCACGGATAAAACCGTGACAAAGTCCGTGACAAAATTTTGTTATCACGGATTTTTTGAACTGAAATCCGTGACAAAATCTGTGACAAACTGGAAGTTTTTTTGTAGTGGTACAAGAATTAAAGTTAAAAGGATTGTAAGATTTCTCATATGATTTTGCTATAAAATGACCTGTAAGCAATTGAATCAATAACGTGCAATACAAGTAAATATAAAAAAATGGTCAATATAGTTAATTATATTCCTGCAAATAACACTATATTTTTCATATTCTAATGTTGAAGATGCTTTTCTCGAGAACATCGACGTACTACCCAAATGTTTAGGTATTTTTCATGATTTCTTCATAATTTCACCAAACCGTGTGGTAGTGTCGATGTAGAAACTTAAATGTAACAAGAAAAACTAGAATATAATTAATGAGATTAAGGAATGTCTCTAAACCAAGAAAAGGAAAATACATTTTTCAATTGGAGAATGTGTGTATGCCTTCGTCTTTGTTTCATTCTATATATAAACCCATAGTTGGTAATGTTTATCTAGTTACCTTAAGAGGTTCTGCTTGCATAAAAAAAGGTTCAAATAAAAGAAAATCTAAGGACCAAAAAAAAGATCAAGTTGAGAAGAAATGGCTTTGGAGAGTGTTTTGGAGGATTGTGTGGCAAATTATGAAATTCTATCAAATACAGATCATTACATTCTTAAGGTTCCTTTGCCATATGGTAATATGTCTGAATATCCCTCTTTATAGCAAATTATATTGTGGGGTCAGTCTAACTTTCACAAGTTGCTTCTATCCCAAAATGATGTAGTTTTATGTTAGAAAACTTGCTTCTTGTTTCTCTTCTTCGCCCTTGATCGATTTTCTAGTTTTTTTATTTTCCGTTTTCTCTTTTCTTCTTCAATTCTCTTCTTCTTAATCAAAATATACTAAGAAATCGATCGTGATTTTTTTATTCTTCATTTTAAATTTAAATTATGAAGCAATCTAGATTTTTCTTGTTTAACACTTCACAATAAAAAATTTATTAATCTAAAACATAAAATTCTATTTGTATTTTCCCATCTGCAATTCTTGTTCGAGCTCTACCTTATATTTTTTAATTCGTGTGGTTTGTATGATAAGTCTAACAAAACTCATCGTGTTACATATCATTCTTACACACTTTTCACATATTTTTCATACATAAATGTCATTTTTATAATAGTGACGTCTGAAATTTTTTCCGACGATCATAGTGACACGTTTTACAGCGGCATTGATGTCCGAAAGTGACACGAAAGCATGTAGTGACATTCCAAAGTGACATAAAAATCTGAAAATGACATATGAAAGTGAAATAAAATTCTGGCAGTGACATAAAATTTTTGCGGTGACACCATGTTTTCCAAAAATATGACTTTCTTAGTCACATTTTTGTCTTTTTTTAAAAGTGTTCACATTTTTTGTAAATGGCTTTAATTTAGTAATATTCAAGGCAAAAGCCCATTTAATATTTCTATTTTGATTTAGATGTAAATTGTAATGGTTTTATTTTCATGCTTAAACACACACGATCTTGACCACCATATTGAATGGGCTATTTAATCGTAAAATCATCAAAGTTTTATATTTTAAAATTTTTGCACTAAAACAATATTAACGAAGATTCTAATAATTTAATATAATTTTTATACATCACAACAACAACAACAACAACATTCAAACAGTCAAGCTTAATCTTGAAAATGATTAGGGTCAACTAAGAAGATGAATCGACATACAAAATCGGAGGTAAAGGAGATAAAAAGATAAGATAAGATAAAAAGAATAAAAAGATAAAATAGATAAAATAAAGAGAAGATACAGTTCATAAACATAAGATAAAAAAGATAAAGAAAAAAGATTAAACGGTAAAGAAGATGAAAAGAGATCAATCATTCACACATATTTCTCTCTACTTCGTTCAATCCAAAATCATACTTTCATCCGAATCAAGAAGTATCAAATCATTCCTTATCACTCTAATCCACATCTGTTTTGATCTTTCTCTCCTCTCTCCACACATCTTCTCTCCACCTCTCAACTCGTCTAACTGGTGCATCACTTGGTTTTCTATACACATGGTCAAACTCATGTCATATCTTCAACATGTTTACTCTCACCTTTTATCTGAGTGTCTCACTCTTCCAATGATCTTTTCTAACATATATGTCCACACATTGAAAGCAGATGTGACATTGTCTCACCGTCTAACACTCTATGTCAGACAATAATATATACCTAATTGGCTAATTGTTATCCAATAAAACTTACTCTTCGGTATAGTTGGTATACCTCGATCACATAGAAATTGTGACATACTCTTCCGTTTCATCCACCATATTCGAGATACATCTCCATCTAGTTCACTGTCGTCCTAAATATTTCATGTAACCGAAGTCTTTTTCAGCAATGTAGTAAACTAATTTTTTTTTAGCTATATATGCTTACCTCCGCCCCTAATATTCCTTTTGCGACTAATCAAACTCATTTTTTTGACAACAAACCTAAGCTCAATTATAACATTTTCTCTTTAGCTTTGGCAAAATTCGACTCTACATATTTAGGATTCTTATTCCGGACTTTAATATATGAAGAGTTCAAATTTCTATATTTTGGTATTTATCTATGTGACATAAGATGAAATTGTTGTCAAATCTCGCCAATCTTGATAAATACTATGTATCTAATTAGACCTACATGAAAATGTTGATATTCAGGAAAATGTTGGTATTTTGGTATTTATCTATTTGACATAAAATGAAATTGTTATTGGATCTCGCCAACCTTCATTTGTTATCAGATTAGCAAATCTGAATAATAAATGTAAGTTAGACCTGCAGGAAAATGTTGATATTCAGTGTCATAGCTAATTAATAAGGGTGAGAAAAATTGAACCGAAACCTGGAAACCGACATTGACCCGACCCGAATGATGTTCGCGGTCTGGGTTTTTCCCTTGTTAACCTGACTAAATAAAAAGATAACTGGAGTGAACCCGAAAATTTGAGCTCATAAACAAGCCCTAAAATCTATAACCTGACCTGGATCGATAAAACCCGAGACAATTAACTATAATATAAAATCGATATAATAGACGAATCTAATTTATAAATAATTCCTGGTTTATGATTATAACTTTTAATGACTACACATTTGTTCAATTTTGTATACCATAATGACCATGAAAATATATTTACAATAACTTTAGTCGTATTTTTATTCATAAATTTTATTTAGTAATATTTTGAGAAAACAATATTATGTTACTTATATGCATCTTAAACAAAATATTAAAATCATTATCATTTTGGATTTGAATTGTTGGTGATTCTGCACACTAATATTTTTGTTATTATTTGCGGTTCATGTTTTTGATTACTTTTATTTGGAAATATGTTTTACAAATATAAAAGGAGAGTGAGATGATTTCAAGTCCGGGCTTTAACCGACCCTACCTGAACCCAAATCGAACCCGGGCTACCAGAAATCCGACTAGGATCGAATATAATGGACTCTGTTTCGATCCCTAATTCCCATAATTCGGGACCTTACAGATAATTTCCGGGTTTAGCAAAAACCCGACCCAGACTGGACCGATCCGATCCCTACTAATTAAGCAAAAAAAATATGAATGATCAAGAGATAATCGATTTGTTATATAAGTAATAAAAAGTGGAACACGTTTAAACAAGGGCTTTTACCAAAATTGGAGTGAGCTCGTTCCACAAGTTAGGATGTTTTTACTTGGACTTTAATTTGCTGGTCTGGTCTGGTCTATAATGGTCTGGTCTGGTTTGATTTCTTTGTATTTTTATAAATATCCAAGTCTGGTATGGTCTGAACTGGTCTGGTCTGGTCTGAAGTGGTCTGGTCTGAATTGGTCTGGTCTGAACTTGTCTGGTCTGGTCTGATTTGTTTGTATTCTTACAAATATCCAAGTCTGGTCTGATCTGGTCGGAAGAAGATACTCACTGTCACACTTGGCATAAAAAGTTCGTAGTACACATTATTCACATGGGTGTAGCTAGGGGGCCGACATCGGCTCCGACCTAGCCCAAATTTAAAAAATGTTTATATTTTTAGTATAAAAAATTTCAAAAATATCTTTGTACCGGCTCAGTGGTCTGCTCCACCCCTATTATCCACAACATATATTAGGGAAAAGTGTCAAATAAGCCCCCTTACTATAGTGAAAATGTCAATTAAGTCCGTGAACTCAAAAAACGCCCAATTAAACAGCTGAACTATAAAAAAACTTTCAAAACCGTTTCTATCAGGTAACCAATAGGTTACCAGATGAATTTTCACACGTGGCAAGACCTGATGACACATGACGACACGTGGCGGCACGTGTGTAAATTTTTTCTTTTTTCTTTTCTTTTTCTTTCCTTTCTTTTTTCTTTTCCCTTTTTTCTTCCTTCTCCCTGGTCCGTCACTTCTCTGATTCATCCGCTACTTCTCCCCTGCGCCATGAAGTCCATCCACAGAAATGAAGCTCCACCCATTTAGCCGCGCCAACGCCGGTCGATTTCACCCCAACGCCGGTCGAATCCACCGCCAACGGCGCTTAATTTCGCCGTGTCGTCGCCGTCAAATTGGGAATTTTCCAATTTGGTCTCATCGATCTCTATAGTTGTACGAGCTTGATTCAAATTGTAATTGTTAGTGTTTGAAGAACTTATACATAGTACGGATTATAGTTCTAATTCGGAGGCAGAGAATCAGGGGCGGCGGCGTTTGGCGGCGGTGTCTTGTCGCCGGCGTCCACTCACGTAAACAAAGAAGACGGGTGAGGGCGACAAACCAAGTGAAAGAAGAAAGAAAATAAAAAAGAAAAACAGAACACAGAAGTTGAAGTGCAGGGAAGATAAAAGGGGCGCAACAAGAAAGAAAGAGGAAAGAAAAAAGAAAAAGAGAAAAAAAAATGCCACATCACGTGACACACCCACATTTTGACCGGCAACGGGAAGAGTACAAGCTAATAAGATGATTTGCCTCATTTTTAATGGTTCGTGGGTTTAGTTGAGTGATATTTGAGTTGTTGGATTTAATTGACATTTTCATAATAGTAGGAGGGCCTATTTGACACTTTTTTCTATATTAAAGTTATAAGTAGTACTTGGTAGTGGCCGACTTGTTCCACGGTGTTCAATTGAACATCCATTTTTTAAAAAAAAGTACTAAATTTCAATTCATCATGTATATAATTTGATGTAATAATTAGTTGTATATTTTTTGTAAAGTATTTCTAATTTTAGCTTTATTTACTAATTCTGGTTGTTGAAAGGTCAACAGAAATTCTGTCTATCTTTGATCTCTTGTTGTAGTCTATTAGCCTCATCTGTATGCAGAGGCGGACCGTAGTAGAGACCCGGGGGGTTACCGCCCCCCAACAAAATTTTTTTTTAGTGTATATATATACGAAAAATGTTTTTTGTTCTTCCAAAAAGTATTTTGAACCCCCCAAAAATATTTTCGCCCCCCAAAATGACTTTCCTGGGTCCGCCCCTGTCTATATGATGTGTTTTTGGGAGTAGTCTATTAGCCTCATCTATCCTGCCCCAATAACTCTCTACCTTCTATATCCGGAAATATTATAGGCACGATTTTAGCAACTTTTACAAGCTGGATGCTTATTGTATACACAGGAATCGAGTTTAAATTGATAATAGCTCAAATAAACAAAGAAGGGATGGCAAGGATCCTTTGGAAGCCGAAAGGGTTAAGGGCAAGAAGCATTGCCACAAAAAAAGAGTTACCTTTTCTTCCACAGGGAGATCGCGACCGTGATGGGATTAAAGGAAAGGCTGAAAAGGGCTTTCTTTATGTCACTCGACCAAAACGAAAACCCTCTGCCACTCCAGATATGGTACTTTTATGTGTCGGTGCTTTTAAAATTTTAACTTGCGTTTTATTCTCATTTTGGACCGGAGTTTTTGCATCTTTTGGTCTCCCGAGTATTGGGTCAGTGACACTTTTGGTACACGAGTTTTAATTTTTCCATTTTTAGTCCTCGACTATTGTTCATGAGACACTTTTGGTCGTCTAATTTCAAATTTCTCACATTTAGTCCTTTGAGTATTATCAAATTGATACTTTTAGTCCTTCTACTATGATTTTGACACAATAAATGGAGGACTAAAAATGTCTCTATTGCAATAGTTGAAGGACCAAAAGTGTCACTTCTACAAAAGTCGATGGACTAAATACGGAAATTTTCAAAGACGGATACCAAAAGTGTCTCTCGCACAATAGTCGAGGACTAAAAGTGGAAAAAATAAAAGTCGAGTACTAAAAGTGTCACTGACACAATAGTCGGGGGACTAAAAGTGGCAAAAACTCTTTTGGACCAGATATGGTACTGGTTAAAGTGAGTTGAGGGAAAAGAAAAATATTGGAACTTGGAAATAATGATGGAATACTAATAGATTTTCAATAGACTTAAATACTGCTTCTATAATAAATACTTAAACTAGTATTTTACTTATTCAGTCATTTTCTTTAAACCCCAAAAGGCTTGTGCCCATAAGCATTATTCCTGTTAAATCGGATGAAACCCACCTAAAAGATGATTTTTTAATTACTAAAGACTAAAGAACAAAGTAAATTTGAAAATATTCAGAGGTTTTGAGGTTAATAATCCTTGCATTATTACTCCTCTATCCCAACTCCCAACTTCTTGTATCAAAGTTTAAACACATTTTGAGCCTAATAGGCATTCTTATTTCGATAAACCTAATAGCAGTAACACAATTTTATCTTTTCTTAAAATTTGTGCCAAACTAAGCCTTCCAAACAAAATGGGTCATTATGGGTAGAGGTAATATTTTTGACATGGTTGATCATCTTTGTACCAAAAGGTAGAATCACTCAGACACAACGCCCCCATACCTCGGCCCAACAGAGAAGTAACCACTGGTAGAAGTAATACCATAAGTGTGGCAGCAACCAAGACAGAAGAAGGTTTTAGTCCAGCACTAGCAGCAGCTTATTATGATGATCTTGCAACAAAGCTTTGGACTAACCGCATGGAAATACTGAATGTGGCTCTCGGTTTGGCTGTAATTAGTATTAGCATGTATGTTATAACTGGGAAACATATCTGAAGAGGATTCAACAATGTATTTACAGAGAAATTGTAAATACATAAATTTACCAGCTACATTATGCGATGTGATTCAATTTATATGTCTACAATGGAATAAAGAGTACAAGTTGAAAAAAATTGTTTATGGGAAGGCTAATTTCGGCTGAACCTATACCGCTTTTGATTGGGTTTCGAACTAGCCAGTTCCTAGTCCCCTTACCCATAGATGTGAAATGCACATAAGAGACCTGGTGTTTGAAACTACCAACAATTTAAGTTCTGAGATATTTCTAATACTAATTTTGTCCAGGGAGCACGTCGCCAAGTAGTAGTATAAAATATTAATAAGTTGCAAATAATCGATGCTAACTGCAAGTGAAATGATTAGCTAAACATAGGTCACACATAGTTAACATACTCCGTACAATACTGTCACTGTAAATGTGATCCATGATTCCAAAATGTTATCCTCTATCTCGGTGATCCATGGTGTGTGGGCCGCCAAATGTCGGCCTCATGTAAGCATCATCGAATTTCCTCCAATACGAATGGATAGTATAGATCGGTCTCTCGATGAGCATAGACAAACTATCCTTTGCACGGAGAATATTGGTTGTTGCTGATTCTTCAAATGAAAGTAACGGAAGCCTCATATCTTCCTTTGAGATGCTTGGTTCTCGGTCGATGCCGCTGCTGTCATGATGAGGGAGCAGATAATGTACAAGTGGTTTTGTCAAAAAACCAAATACCTGCATTTGCATAAGGGCCACAGCTAAATGTTCTCTTTGTCCCATAAGTATGGGAATGTATGGATAAAAATATGACTACACTTACTATTATTATAAGACCATGTTCATTGCTGTGAGAAATAGATCCGTCATGATCACTACAATTACTATTATAGTCAACTATTAAAAGTTGTTCCCTCAATCCCAACTTAAGGTTCTCGCTTTCCTTTTTTGTTCTCATTTCTATTTTAAAAATATAATTAACACTCTTAAATGTCAATTTAATCATAAAATATAAAAAATAATACACCTACAACATCACAATTATCATCAATGACTCCATTATATTATATATCCATCAAAAGCACTCCTCGAAATATACTCGAATTACCTTATTTAATTATTGTCTAAATAACCATGTCATTTTTCAATGTGAACCTTAACCTGGGACAGAGTTAGTACATTGTATCCAATATCCTTACTTTAGTCATATATTAGTCATTACTTTATTTTACTTTAGTCATATATTAGTCATTACTTTATTTTGGTTATATAATACAGAGTAGTCATTATTTCTAATTATTAACTATTTCAATTTTGTAGCTAGGAATGTATAGATGAAGCTCGGGTGCTTACTATTGTGCTGAATAGCACTACGATGATGGTTGTTGTGACCATAGTTGCATAGGTGGGATCAAGTGTGACGCCAGAGTGAGTAAACTAAATCATCAAGAAAACGGTTATTGATATACATGTAGAAACACACTCAAATATATATAAATTTATATGAAATATTAGAGTCATTTACATTAATGCGCTGGATTAGGTAGCTGATATTAAAATATATGAGCATTTGATTATCACATGGCAACAATCTAATGGCGGTAAACTAAATGCTCATGAATGTAGTCTAGAAAATGCCTAGTAATATGAATAATGAGATGTCATGTCATCAAGAGTTTTATCACATTAAATTGTAGCTGGTTAAAGTCGACGCACTCGATGAATTATCATTTTTCATATAATTATGTATTTTCACTTTAACCGAACCCTATAGATGCACATGTAGGGCCTGTTATGCATGAGAAATGTGAAAAGTGGACCTTTTGTTCACCATAGTGCACATTATTTATCCAGTAGTGCAATTTTTATGATTGTAGAAAAGTTTGATTTATTTCCAGATATGCCACTGCATTCTTATCATTAATACTGCATTGTTGTTGTTTTTAAAACCCTTCGATCTTAAATCTGATTTTCATTCATGTTTATCACGTTAAATCATCTTATTTAAACCAAAATATATGTGTGTGCGCATCAGCCGATCCTATTAGTTCAGTCATAATAATGATCCCTCTTTTGACGAACACTCTCTGATTGTTTTCCTTTACTACAACCACTGTTGTGAAACACAAAGCCATGCATACCTGCTTGAATGCCAAGGCAATAGATACAGCTCCCCTCATCAGCCCGGCCCAACAAATTACTACCTAGTTGATCAAAGGAAAAAAAGCAATGACACTAGGTGAGAAGCAAACAGTATTCCATCATATATACTCCATGTATGACAAGGTCATGTTATGGAGAGGTTGCAAAATGTAAACCTGATGCTTCATTGTTATTGATGATGACCTTGTTCTGTTCCGGTTCATGCAGTTGGAAAGAGCTGAGAGGGGGAATACAAAAGCTGCACGTGCTACTAGTATCAGTAGGAGGACAGCGCCAGATACACCCATCGTCTTCCAAACACTAGAAACGCAGACCATGGAACCAATAAAAAATTAATACATGTGCATCATACGTAGTATATATATGAGTCCTTTTCTAGTTTTCTGGTCAGGCGCGCCTGACGAGGAGCTCCGTGCGGACTTGCCCGTTTGAGGGTCTTCCGGGTGGAATTTTTTGATGAAATGTTTTGAGCATGTTCCTCATCAAGTCTAGTTTATGCATACCAAATTTCAGATCCAAATTCGATCGAGAAGGCAGTCAAATAATTCTTGAAACATACTGCGCTTTATATATGCGCAGAATGCGCAGTATGTTTCAAGAATTTATTTGACTGCCTTCCCGATCTAATTTTGAGCTGAAATTTGATATGCATAAACTAGATTTGATAAGGAACATGCTCAAAAAATTTCATCAAAACTTTCCACGGGAAGGCCCTCAAACGGGCAAGTCCGCATGGCGCTCCCTGTCAGGATCTTTCCTATACACACACACACATACACACACACACATGTATATTCTATGTATATTCTATGTATTATGGAATATGGAATGACTTGACCCTTAACAAGTATCGCTTATTTAGATTCGCTAAAAAAAGAAAATTTCAATAGCATAAAGTTTTTTTACATTTAATCTATGCATGGGTGCCTAGGTGGAAGGGCAGCTGGACTGACTTAGCATCTATGTAGACCTGCCCATCATGAGGGGATGACTCACCTCAATTTGCTGATTTTCCACTTTTCAATGTCCAGAGCATCCATTCCAACATACAAAAATATGAATGTTTCCGCAATGAAAGACAGAGTCGCAAATACATGCCTGCGTTAACAAATTCAAAGACAAGCTCTCAATATATCAACTATCCTTCCAAAAATTAGAAGTGTTCTCTTTGCATGTAAATCTGCTTAATAACACAAAACAAACTGATTCTGATACAATTCAAGAAACAATCAGCATGGAACCCTTAGACTAGTAAACATGGGATGATGGGAAGCATAATAAATGTAAGAAGGACCTGGTCACACATGCCTGGTGGTAATTCTCGAACCTTCAGTAACATTGTGCCATGTATAGTGAGACATAAGAACTCCACAAAAGAACACAGTCAAAATCCCACTGAGGCTGAACAGCTACAAAAATTAAATATGGCAATATGAAGGTACAGAAACACAAACTCTTCAAAGAATATTGGTATGCTCTTTACCTCAGCCAACATGTAGGATAGATATGCCATTAAAACCATGAGAGCTATTTCACGAACAGTGGAATGTCTGCATGACAAATGTGTAAGAATAGTCAATAGAATTGATTCACTAGGGTGTACTTATATACATAATACACATGAGTAAGAAAACTATAGATGAAGGGGATGGGACTAAATTAAAACAATTACAATATGTAAAATAATACTCCGTATTAAATAAATATTACTCCCTCCGTCCCGCTAACAATGGGACAAGAGAGAGTGACACACAAATTAATAAAAAGTGATTTATGTGGTTGATATTGAATTGATAAAGTAAGAATAAAGTAAGAATGATTTAGAACCACACAAACTTTACCAAATTTGGTATGGGACAATCTTAGTGGGACGGACCGATAAGGTAAAATGGGACAATCATAGCGGGACGGAGGTAGTATATTGTATACCAGACCCCTTAGTTGTTCAGTAAGGCTCTGCTGCCTTCCTTTTATTCTTATTAAACCAAGCATACAAGTAATATGCAGTTTTCATTTACATTTTCATTTACCCCAGTGCCGCAAAGGCTCCCAGCTACGGTGGGGTAAGGGGGGTCGGATGTACGCAGTCTTACCCCTGTACTAAAGCACAGAGAGACTGTTTCCGGATGACCCATAGTGAAAATCGTGTCCAAAATTGCATGGACTGACTGCTGCTCCATAACAGAGAAGCGTAGACAGTTTAGTGAGCCATTTTGCTTTATTCCATCATAATCTCAAGCCAAAAAAAATGAATCTTTGGCTCCATTGCAAATGATGGAAAACAAGTAATATGCAGTTATCATGACAAAATAACTAAAACTACCTCCCAAAGTAAAAAACCTTCAGAATGTATGACGTCAACAGTCCAACCTGGAATAACCATGAAAACACTAAGATATTACGACCACAATATTTGTTTTTAGCCCATATTTTATGTACCAAAATTATATTTCTTTTAGGGATTCAATGCATATTTTTATATAAATCTACCAAGATTTCCCTTATTGACTTTTCCGTATTAAATGCTGTTTTTCCTTGAAAATGTATAAGAAAGATTTAATGTTTTATCTGTGCACTTTTAAAACGACAATTAAATTGGGGCGAAAGGAGTACAACATTTGGGCAAAATAGTGATTTTTTACGGGACTATTTACTCTTGAATGTCATTATGGAAATTCATATCCAAGCACGAACACTTGTGCTTAGTTGAATACTAAAGGACTAGTAACAAGTAGCTAGTATGATCTTACACCAACACCAAGTGCAGTGCTTGTGGAGAAAAGGTACAAAAAGTCAAGGAGGACTCTGGCCAAAGCCCGCCCTTCAAGTGTACTTCCATTAATCTTCTGCACTGCATTGAAGAGGACAACTGATGTGGCATCATTGACTACTCCCTCCCCAAACACAAGGCTATACAGCAGGGGGGTCTCTTCTTGATGCAATACCTACATACACACAAACTTTCAGGATCACATGATCTTCTTACTACTACTTTCTCCTTTCCATATTACTTGTGCTACATGGATTACAACATTTGACTGAGTATAAAGTTAATTCTTCATTATTAATACATACATAGTATTTAGAAACCTCCCTAAAAGTTATACGGAGTATTTAACTACAAAAAACAAATTTGAAAAAAAAAATGGTAAATAAAATGGAAATCAAAAGATAATCGGTTGGACTACATTAGTAACTGAGAAACTAATTTGGAACGGGGAGAATTTTATTTAATCAAACTAGCATATGACGGGTCTCCAATTAACTTATTACCTGCAATGTACAAACCGTGTCTGTTGACGAAAATATGGTACCAATAGCTTAAATCAAGATAATAACACAAGGAAAGTCAGCCCAGCTAGATGCTGCTACAAAATGTATATAAAAACAATTGTCTTTCTAAAAGCAAAGGGCAGACCAAGGTAGTCTCGAACAGTCAGATCACTAATACTGAGCTTCGGAAACAGAAACCGGCTGCCTATAAAAACAAATAGAAAACAATCAACCAAGAAGCAGAATATAGAAGTATATGCAAGAGAGCAACATCTACTAGCCCTTTTGATGACCACATCAGAATAGAAAAAACATTTCTGGTGCAGTGAGTATGCTGTTCTCATTTTTGTTATTCATAACTTTCATTATTTCCACTTTTTGGGTGGATGACTATGATTTTTTGCCACTTTTGATCCTTTCCAGCCACTTATCCAGCAAAGAATGAACTCAGAATTGTATGAAAATTGACCGGATGAGTGGTCAGAAACCATAAGTGAGAGAAAAGCTATAGTCGTGGGATCCAAAATGGAAATGGACCAAAAGTGGTATTCTAATCAAAATAATACCTGCAGTAATGATGCAAGTTGATATGAAAACCCCAACAACTCCAAACAGCATTATAGTTAGGAAATTCTGGAAGAATTGTTTCTTCTTGACCTGGAATCTGGTCACAGAAAGACGATAATAAACTTATATAGTCCACCCACCAAATGCAACAAGACATGATGAATCACTCTTTCTTAGGATTAGTAAGTAAAAGCATTGTTATTACCCCGCATTGAATATTATCGGTGGAAGAAGATATATAAAGAACAGTTCTTCACTAAATCTCAGAATGTGAGAATTTTTCCCCCTGCTGATCAACAAAATCACTGTCCCCGACACACACCCCTATATCAAAGCAACAATAAAAACAAGCAAGGAAAAAACAAAGTTCAATACAGTTAATGCTAACACAACACAGTTAAGTTCTTCATCCAATGAAAATAATGTAGAACAAAATGATGCCCTATATCAAGCATGAGAGGCCAAACAACGCATTTGAGTTGGGTCAAACTGTCCTCCAACGGATTTCCCCAGCTAAGAGAGGCCAAACAAATAAATAAACCACAATCGGGTTACATTCTGATACCATATTTATGATATAAAATTAGGTATAACTCATCTAAACAGGATTAGGTTATCAAGATAGCTCGCGCTCATATATTGAACTCAAAACTGGTAAATTGGAGCGCTTGCTGTGTTTGGGGTTGGGTTTTGGAGTGGCTTGGAAGGAATGTTTTTGGAGGGTTAACCCATATCTTGATAAACATAATGTTTTAAGAAAGCAATACAATGTGATTGAATTGTTATATGATCACATACTATGTTAATCTTTCAATGTTCATACAATATAGGCTAAGCCCTCCAACCCCTCTAAAACCTCAGTCCAAGCAGCCCATCTATAAAGTATCGATCACATATAAGGGGTAGTGAGTGAAAGTACGATGAAGATGGCGGTAATGGACTCGTTGACCCATCGATTTTCTTCAAGCAAATGGCCGACCACTAAACAGAAGCAGAGGACGGCAACGAAGACGGTAATGGGCACCACATGCTCGTGGCTGCTGCTAGTTCCAAGGTTCTGGACGTAATATAGGACGGCGAGCATTCTTCTCCGACGAAATTAACGTTGTTGATTGCTGAAGCTCGAGCGTATATACCCCCTTGAACAAAAAGGGGAAACACTGGGTGTGTTGAAGATGGAGATCCTGGCAGCATAGCAACGAGACTCTGTCGAGCTGGCCGGCTTTTCCGGGAAAGCGCCAACTGAAATGCTGAGTGTGTGAGAGATTTCGCTGACGCGTGGCAGCGTAGCGCAACATTTTCCGGACGTGTCGTTGGGAGGTGAATCAGCTGGTTCTAGTCGTCCGGCTGATTCTTTGTCCCCGTCTGCAGGAACTATTTGGTTGCTGAATTATAAAAAAATGGTTTATTCGGCTGAATTACAAACAAAAAAAAAACTACGTATACACTGCCGATTCAACTAGAAAAAAAATCTTATTAATTTTGATTATTACAAAACTCATTACGTTAAATCAAAAGTTATATATTTGATGATAAGTTGAAAAATAGGGTTACCAAACAGATCTAAACTTTTCATTTCTATTTTAAAAAATAATTAGCACTCTTAAATACTCCAACAAATTCGTGATCAAATAATAAAAATAATATGCTTATAACATCTCAATTATCACAGTAATTGCCTCATTATCTTACATCCCAATATTATTTCTTAAGATATAGGGTCTGTTTGGTAACGGCTGCAATGGCTGAAAAGTTTGAAAATGTTGAATTTGCTAAAGTGAAAGTCTTAGGTAAAATGTTGCCTAAAACAAGGGCGTAGTCAGGGGAGGGCCAACACTGGCTCTGGCCCAGCCTAAATTTAAGAAATGCCCATATTTTTAGTGTAAAAAATTTTGTGTAATTTTTTTTCCAAATATATTCTTTCTACCGACCCAGTGCTTTGACTCCGCCCCTAGCCTGAAATAGCTAGTTGAATGGAGAATTATCCTAAAGAGTATTAGTTTGTTTGTGTTAAATATGTGGATTGGAATAAATTTTTTGAATGGAATGGAATCGTAAATATGATTGTCGTAGTTTTAAATATTCTGTTCACGTTTTATACTATTATGGAATCACGTTTTAAGTTATCCATAATAACTCTATTTAACTTAGGCTAAAGGGTCAAATAAGTACATGAACTAATTTAAAGTGTTCAATTAGCCCCTTATTTAGGAGGTTCTGTCCGGCCGTCGCCAATTGGGGTGGTTCTCGATGGAATTTTTTGATGAATTTTTTTTAGAATCTTCTTCATTAAGTCTAGTTTACCCATATCAAATTTCAGCTAAAAATTAAATCGGGAAGGTAGTCAAATGATTTTCCGAAATGTACTGCGTTGTTTAACTGCACAGTTATCTTCAAAAAATCATTTGACTGTCTTCCCAATTGTATTTTTAGCTGAAATTCGATATGGGTAAACTAGATTTAATGAAGAAGATGGTCAAAAAAATTCATCAAAAAATTCCACCAAGAACCGCCCCAAATGACGATGGCCGAGCAGAACCTCCTATATAAGAGGGTAATTGACCCTTTAGCCCTTTAACTTATTATGGAATGGAATTACGCATAGTAACTTAAAAATTCAGGGGTGCGATTCCATTCATTCATGTATAATAATAATACCAAACGTGTGTTGATTGTCCTAGTTTTCAAAAATCTTGTTTGAAAAAGAGTGCAAACAAATAGATACCATTATACCAACACTCCATATAGGAAAGAACTGTGCTTGTTAAAAATACGTAGTATATAATTAAAGAAAACACACAATAATGGAAAGAATACTTTTATTTGAATGAATAATGGAACGAATACTTGTTAAACAAAAAAACACAGCTAACGAGATGGGCTTTTTCCCTTAAATTCATAAACAACAAAATTTAAAACAGAAAAAGCGTACAGACAAAAGTTACGTAGTATTAAGACAGAGATGGGCTTAATATGTTTTACCCTCAATACAGGATCATTGCTTCTATTATCCGGTTTTACTTTTTCTGCAAAGTCTAAAATATGGTTGTGCGTATTCTTATCTCCGTCAGTGGCGTCAATCTTCTGCATGCTCTTCTCGTGTAACTCCAACATCAATCCTCTTCTCCTGCAACCTAAAATCAATCCTCTCCCTTGCAATTCCAGTAGCCGTCATCTTCTCCTGCACCTCAACAATTGATCCTTCTCTACGATGTCCAGTCCAGAACTCCAGGTTGTTCTACTACTCCCCCTTCTGTTCTCGGCCGGCCTCTCTTTCCTTTTCTCTCTTCCTCTTTACATTCGAACATTATCTCCCAGATTCATCTTCCTCATTTCTTCTTCTTACTCTGTTATGTAAACAATGTCATCTTTGTTCTCAAAATGTCATGGAGATGTCATTTCCATATATAAAAACATGGCAGTCGTGGAGAATGTCAAGTTGGTGTCATTTTTACTCTTTAGAAATGTCAAATAAAAACTGTCATCTTGGTAAATGTAATGTCAAGACAGTGACATTTTTTCCAAAACAGTGTTCAATAACTTAGCAATTATGCCATTTTCAGATCCAGTTGATGAGAAAAATAGTACTACCTTCGTTCCTCTAAGTTTGGAACAAAGGGGTGTGATGTGATTTTTAAGAAAAAGTGAAATTGTGTGATTGGTGTTGAATCGATAAGTAAGAATGAATTCTAACCACTCAAATATTACCAAATATGGTATGAAACAAACTTAATGGGATGGACGAAAAAGGTAAAACAGGACAAAGTTAGAAAGACAGAGGGAGTATGAACGATTTAAAGTGAATTAGATGGAATTTATAAAAAATAAATATCCAAAAGAGAAGAAAAGAGTAAAAGTGGAATTAGAAAGAAAATATAGAAGTTTTAAAGAAGAAGAAGATTATGAAGACGAATAAGAAGAAGAAGAAAAAGAAAAAGGAGAAGAAGCTTATCTGGGAAAGTTGTAGAGGTAATGCAGAGACATCCTTTAGCGCAACCTTCACCAAATCACAAGTCGCGATTCGCGAACGGAAGAAGAGTGGCTTTGCAGGGCAGTTTTGGTATTCCATCTATATTTTAGTCCTATGCTGTTAAACAGAAAAGTGATAGTCCTACTATGGATCTTTTCATATTGTTATGTTAGAATTAAGAAAAAAAACTACAAAACATCACAGCAAAGAGTAAAAACTAAACGTTGCCAAGATTTTCTCCTAAGAAATTTTGGACCAAGCAAACAGGATTAAAAGATTAATTAAGGACATCTAATACAAGTTGGGCTCATATGGGCCGGACAGGTAACCAAAACCCACACAGGTCAAGATTCTTCTCTAAAATCTGCCAATCTGGAAGTGTAAAATGCAAAATTACAATGAACAGCGCCATCTATCTTTGTATCTTACAGTTCGAGTAACTAACTCCTCAACTTCTTATTTGCTATCTACCAACAAAGCCGTTCCACAGCTAGGGCATTCCCAAAATGGGATCTTGATTACTCCCTCCCTCCATGTTTGCCCAAGTCTTGGTCTTCAGTCTTCACTGCTTTGCCTGCAGAAAGAGAGGAGTACATGAGAAAAACAGCCAAACATCACTTTAATCCCAACTATGATTAAAAGCATTCTTGTTCCATTAGACAGGTGGAAGCTGGGTTAAATAAGAATGTGCCTATATTGGTATAGTGAAATGATGATAAAAAAAAAAAGTTACCTTTACAGCGCACTGCCTTTGTTTGTAGTTCTGTGGTGACTGTTATTACCATTTACCACGGCTATATTCAATTCTATACTAGTATACTACGATGACCATGTGGTGTTTATCGTAGTGACTGTAGTGACCATGTGGTTATATGTTTGCCCATGAATGTTGTTTTAGTTATATTACAGGAAAAAACCATGGAGTAATAGAGTTATTGAAGTGGTCGAGAGTTCACGTTGATTTAAGCTTTGAATTTAAAGCAGTTGTTTTTAATATAGAAAACTAGGATAGCTTTCAGAATGATCAATCCAGAGAAGCCTAATATTTAACCACCAAAAGAAAGAAGATAAAAAGATATTTACCTGTGAATACAAGAAAGTCCCAAAGACAGCAATAGCTGCTCCTAGAGCATTGACAGGCTGGACCGGTGTCCGGAAGATAATGATGGATGACACGATAACAGAAATTCGCTTCATGGTGTTTCCGATACTGAAAGTCAAAGGAGAGATCTCATCCAGAGACATGTATGACACTTGATTGTAGAGATGATAAAACACACTCTGAGCCAACATCCACCTGTTGCACGCAAATAGTAACCCCGCTAAAAATCAATAACCAGAATAAACCAATAATATCGGCATGTTTCAAACTACAACATAGTTTGTCGTATAACATTAGTAAATCGCTCCAGAAATATAATAACTTATGAATATACATGACATAGTAAACATATTAGAAACAAAACACGATTCAACAAACTGGCGCCATTTATTTCTATCAAAACTATTTTGCCACTGATAGTTAAATTTATACTTTAAATGCCATTTAGTTTCCATATTATCTGCAATAAATTGGTTATATACATGCCTTCAGCAGCCCACTTAGTGTTCAGCAATTTGATTTGTTACTTCACCATGATCCTATTTATGTCTGACTATCTGCTGTATGCAGCATGCTTTGGTAGTAATCGCGCTTGTTATCAGAATTTTTATAAAAAAGGAGTTTCCCAAAAAAAACTGCCAAGCAAACAAGCTGTAGATATTTATCTTCAAAGGGCCTCATCCTCATACTACACGACATGGGTCAAACTATAGCTTAAGTTCATTGCACATGGGCTTAAATGTGTTTTCACTTCAAACTTTGGAGCCAATTAATAGAGTTAAGGCTAAGTGAAACTGATCATTCACATTCTCAATATAGTAGCTTTCAAAAAATAAAATCTTATGTACTTGATAAATTTAAATGACGTGAAAAGAAAAGAGTCGTGTCGGTTTTGTTCTCAAACTGAGATTGCTATAGAGACGGAGAACGACTAAAAAGAAAACAAAAAAACGGAACCAAAACAAAACAAAAATCGAAACAAAACACTTCGCATATCTAAAAACATATTTATGCCCTGAAAGTTTTATTTGCAGAACTAAAAACATATTTATGCCATGAAAGTTTTATGAAAATAACAACTGACACATTTCCTACCCAGAGCATCTTCAATTAACAGTTAGTCAGTTACTAACACCATACCACATACTGTATAAAGATGCCATCTTTAATTAATATCATACCACATACTGCATAAAGATAGCATTTGATTACCATATGATATTCGGTCCGATTTGGGAAAGAGCTTTTTCAAACCCAACTGCCCACATCTGTTGTCCCTCCACAGCAAGTGCAAATGGGGTGAGAATTCCAAGAGATAGGATAGACAAGCAAGCATAATAGTTCATTCCACTGACAGCCTTCCCCTTCATGCCTCTCTTGGAAAATATGTTTCGGAAAACAAAGGCCAGGTTCGAAATCATGGCACCCATAAAGCCTGGGATTAGTAGCAATCAGCATCCAAATAGAAAATACATCAGAAATAAAATAAAATCTGTTAATACTTATTTTAAAATATCATGATTGCATCGAGTATTATTGAAATTTCGATTTTCGAGTACTATTTGAGAAGTATAAATCTAAGAAAATGCCAAACCCCCTTTAAATCACCTTGTTAAGCAAACATCATTTAAGAATAATGAAGCCATCAGATTGAACTCCTTCAATTGAATACTGATCTTTTTAATTGATTTCTATTGGACATGGCAATCCTTATTGCTCATGGGACTACATATAGAACTATATTTGCCTTGACAGCATAAATGCATTTCAGATGCAAAGAGTAGGGGGTGGAGTTTGCACCCATTCTTCAATTCATGTTTGAGTTTGCAGTTTTGCAATTTGCACCCATTTTCAAAATCATTGATATTTGCATCCCAAATTTGAGAATTTTTGCTTCATTTTTCTTCTGAATTGGAGTTTGGACCCCATTACTAACATCATTTTCTAACTTTGGGGTACAACTAGTAATGATTCTGAAAATGAGGTGCAAATTCAAATTCGGATGAATAAAGAAGGGTGAAATCCCCAATCACCCCAAACTAACCCATTTAGTATAGAACAATGGTTTATTAAACAAACTCAAACGTAACAATGAAGAAAGTTCTAATACCGATCATGTTGAAGTTCAACTCAGTAAGAGCGGCCAGGGAGCATCCACCAATAATTGGAATCAGTGACAAGTAAACAGATGGTGGAAAGCTTTCTCCCAGGATGAACCTTGAAACCAGAACACTGAAAGCTGGTTCCCCACTTTTGATAATGTGAGTGAAGGAAACCGCCACCTTTGACATACTCACAGTAGCTGCCACGTGCCCAATGGTGTGCGCAACTGCGACCTGCACATGTGGCCAACACCAAAACCATCAAGAAACAGTGTTTTTGAACAGAAAAACCCTAAGCTATAAATCAAAATTGCAGCATATAGCACTTTGAGATGAGAAATTGAAATTCACTGCTTCACCAACATTATCAGCTTAACTACACAGAGAGCTAATTATCATTAACTTAAAACATATGGAATCTTACAAAAACAATGCTGTAATTTATAATTATCTACAAATTAAATAACCAATAATACTCAGACAGTCAGACTTCGAAACTTCACAGGTGAACTTGATAGAAGTAATAGCCAAAGGTCTTGGGTATGATAGAGATCCAAATACCAAAAACTTAAGACACACTTAATCTGATGAGAAATAGTGAAGTAACTCAGAATTATATATGAATCAGATTACTTGCAGGCTTGGAGGTGAAACTAATAGTAGGACTAGTACTAATGTTTTATGTGTGAACTTTTGTCTCTGGTGCTCTTTTTGAAGCTTAAGCAGATCAAATTGCTAGTTTGAAAGTAATAGAGTCTAAAAGATACATAAACCCAATTACAGAAACCAAGATCACATGGGTATAACAAAAAACTTCACTTTGTTACCGGGAAGAGGGTCTTCCAGAAGTCCAGATCAGTATTAGGAGTTTCAACGATCCTTAGAGTCCAAGATATAAGCATTATAAGAGATCCAGCAGCAAGCGAGAGCGTGGAGGTTAACCAGGGAAAAGGGAATGCATTCAGAACCTTCTTGTTGTATATATTGAAGACCACATTCAAAGCCCACCAAGTAGCGAAGTAGATCCCGATCTTCACCTTCCTAGCAGCCTCAAATTTGGCCGCCGAATCATTCACCGGCTGCTGTCCATCGGCCTCGTGGGCGTTACACGTGACCAGACCACGACTCTCGTGATCATCCCCTCGAGATCTCTGTTTTAAACTTCCAAAGGTCTCGACAGAAGAAACGTGGAGTGGCTTGGCTAAAGAAACTACAAAACTCCGGGAGTGCTTCCCGGCCGGGAGAGGCGGAAGGACACGTAAATTGGGAGCCAGTGACGGAGACTTTGGACGGAGGAGATCAGAACGGAGGATTGCTAGTGCCCCAGATTGCTTCACAGTCGAAATCATAGTTCAAAGACTCGAACTTTGAGGCAACGATCAAGGGCTCCGGTTCCTCAAGTCAAAAACAAGTTTCAACGAGAATGTAGATGACTGCATCCCTTCCTAATACGGGACTCTATATGATCACAGCAGACCTGTGCGTGGAAGTTCAGCATAAATTATTGAACATCAATCATGCCGGTTTTGTTGGGCACGTTTTGTTGTACCAAGTACGAAGTACTTTATTACGAGTAGTTTTTGTCACTTTTGGTCGCCACTATTGTGTCAGTGACACTTTTGGTACACGACTTTTAATTTTTCCATTTTTAGTCCTCGACTATTGGTCGTGAGACACTTTTAGTCCTCTACTTTCAAGTTTCCGACATTTAGTCCTTTGAGTATTATCAAATTGACATTTTTAGTCTTTCTACTATGATTTTGACACAATAAGTGGAGGACCAAAAATGTCTCTATTGAAATACTTGAAGGACCAAAAGTGTCATTTCTACAAAAGTTGAAGGACTAAATACGAAAATTTTCAAAGACGGATACCAAAAGTGTCTCTCGCACAATAGTCGAGGACTAAAAGTGAAAAAATTAAAAGTCGAGTACCAAAAGTGTCACTAACACAATAGTCGGGGGACTAAAAGTGGCAAAAACTCTTATTAGGAGACAGTAAGCCGGCATCAAACTTGTAATTTTTGTGAAAATTGCGGATTCTCTTAAATGAGCATTTATGCAATTTTGATGAGCATCAAGCATGTTCTTTTGAGTATTAGAAGTCTAACGATGAGCATCAATGATATAAGCTTCATACCTTATATATGACTTTCTGTTTATTATTTTTTCGTTTATTAGAAAGTCTTAAGTTATGTCTATAATCAATTTCAATTAATTTTAATATGTGAATTTAATATAGTATGATATGTTTGAAATGTGCAACCTTTTAAAATGAGCATTAAGCAATACCAAATGAGCATACATAAGTTACAAAATGAGTATCAAAAAATCAAAAACGCATTTGTGTGTGCTCATTCATTTTGGACGTTATAATCATTTCATTTTAACATAAAACTCATTTCTAATGTAGTATGATATGTTTGAAATGTGAAACCTTTTAAAATGAGCATAAAGAGATTCCAAGTGATTATACATAACTTACAAAATGAGTATCAAACAATTCAAAAACTCATTTGCCCCAATAACTCTCGCAATATAAATGCAAACGTGAATGAGTAGAGTTCCTAATTTATAGAAGTGGAGATAAATCAAATAGAGATTCAATTATTTGGAGATATAATTTCATAGAAGTGGAAAGTTTGATGGTGACCTTCATGATTGTGTTTTTATTGTTTGAGATTTTTCTTTTACGTGAGAGGCTTAGAAAGAACGGGAAGAAGAAGCGAGAATTTCAGGGAATAAGATTTATGAAATTGCAGAAGCATTAAGCAATCGGGAAGCATATTAGCCGAAACCTGGAAGAGAGAGATATAGCGACGGACTTGGCTGTCGTTCTTCGTTGATGAGTTGAAGCGATCCAGATTTAATTACAAAAATGGCTGGCTGTACGGTGCTCACCGTGCAGCCGACAGTACGATGGAATTTACCACTTTATTACTCCGTATATTATGATGAATAAACTCAAATGACTATATTATTCACTCTTAATCACAAAACAATACTGGAATCATTAAGTTTTTTTAAATTTTTCTCGGAATAATTATAAAATTAAGAAAAAATAGCCCCAATATTACTATTGATGTTTGTATTTCCAAAAGTATGACTCTTTCTATTTTTTCCTTAAATGTGACTTTAATTAATTCAAATACACCTCCTAGGCTCCTACCGTATTCAAATCCTTTTTAATTAGTCCCTTTGTCCCAAATTGTAAGACATTTACTGTTTGCAATGTTTGACCGACGATAAAGCAAATGAATCCTTGTCTGCACTCAAATTATTTTTAGAAAAAAAATAATTACATATTCAGCAACTATATTAAAAGTTTTACAAAGTCACAAAAACCAGAATCAAATTTGATAAAAATTTGATATATAAAGTAATAAATTAAAAGTGATTTGTGTTGACCAAGTGAATAGGAAACATATCTTACAAAATGGGACCGATGGAGTATAATTATATTTTCTCCCTCCTCATCAATGACCCTTCTTAATTTTCGTCTCATCTTCAATTCTTGCGTAGCCATAGTCCACACACAAACACCCCCCCCCCCCCCCCCCCCGCCAACCGCATCAACACCAACTGCCGGAATCAGCCACCCTCCTTGCTCTCATGATGACCACCCTCACTCATCTCTTACCTTCTCGCACAACTCAGTGACCGAATCCAGGTTTTGGCATAGGGACGGCGACTGACGCCCTATCGCTCTCTTCCTCCGTGTAAATTGAACCCCCATCGTTCTCCTCTCTTATGTGTTGTTTGTGTTTTCTTCTACATCCTTCTTCGTCATATTCAACAACAACATGCTCGTACAACTTTGTTCCATTGCCCTCATGTGTGAAGTTTGCGATCACCGATGTCGGAGTGTTGAGGTCACTGACAATGGCTTGGCGGCGGTGGCACCTTGACAACAGCGATGAAGTCACTGACACTTAAGTCAATGTCGATGGTCGCAACTATGGACTGTGGTCATGGAGTCACTAATAGTTTGCAACGCTAAGTCACTGACGATTTGATCAAGTAACTAACTATTTTGCAACCTTAAAGTCACTAACGCCGCCACACCGGTAACAGAAAGGCGGTGATAGCAACCGAGATAGTTACCATGAATTGATGAATGCATAAATAGTTACTTCAAATTATTCATAATTATAAACATTTTCAGTTACTACTAATATTCACCTACACAAAACCCAATTTATTACTCATAAAAAAGCAATTATTACTCAGTCACTATTAAATTAATAAGATGGTCACTGCACTAAAACTCATTAAAAGCAGGCGTCTTAAATTTATATAGCCTCCTAAATTTTAGATGGAAGTTACCGCAAGTCCGCAAATGAAGGAATTCATAAAACCACAATATTTACCGCATTATGTTTTGCTTTCCATTTAGTTGCACTATAGATGTTTGGGAAATTATGATTGACCTCTCTCGAGGTTTTAAGTATTATCACTTAGACCCCTTCACTATTAAAAATATACGTTTACCTCCTCCCTATTCTTTAATGAAAGTTTAATAACTATTAATTACGTTTAGCAAACGTATAAATTTAGTTTTATAATTTTACTCACTTGCAGATTTTATCTGATAATTAATAAATTTACATGTATTAAGAATATTTCCACCATAAAGTATTTTTTGTTGGAAAAATGTGTTAAAATTGCATTAAATGGTCATTTTGGGGCAATTATTTGAGTGGGTCCACTTCCGATTTGGGTCGGTTCAAAGTGGTTTCGTATTGTCCTTGTTAAGGGCTACAATTCGATATGTGGTACACTCAAAACGGATAACGGGTGAATGAGAAATTGATTCTCGAAGTTCACTCGTTGAAATGGAAAAACTGGGAAAATGACGGGTTTCTAGTGTGTTTTATACCACACCGGAAAAATCAAGGGATTTGAACCCCCTTATAAAGGGAAGCCTCTTTTAAGGAGTTAAGATTCCTAAAGGTAAAGACTCTCTCTTACGCGTAGGGCGGGTGCCAATCAAATCCCGAAACGGAGAAGAAAAACCGTGACTCTTGTGCGCGGGCGACCTGCAGGCACGAATGCCGTCCGAAAAATTTATCATTCAAAGATACGATTTAACTTTTGTTTCTTCCCATAACGTTCCTTAATTTTTTCCAGACCAGCAGAACTGCTCCGGACAGAAGGCTTCATACCAGAACACCTCGTGAGGTATTCTGATGGCTTACAGAACAGAACACCTCGTGGGGGAGTTCTGTTGGCCTCCGGACAGAAGACCTCAGGGCTCTTCTGTTGGCCTCCGGACAGAAGACCTCAGGGATCTTCTGTTGGCCTCCGGACAGAAGACCTCTAGACTCTTCTGGTGCCTTCCGAACAGAAGACCTTAGAGGTATTCTGTTGCCTTCCGGAACAGAATACCTAAGTCGTTACGAAAGTTAATGCCCAACGTTCTTGTCTTTTAATGTATCTTTAAATGGACAGTTTTTCAACATATTAATGTCCAACGTGCTGGACATTTATGTGCAACGTCCAGGTCCATTAAAGCTCGATTAAAACACCACAAATTCTCCTATAAATAGCTGGCAGGTGGTTTGCAACAAACACACGTTCACAAGCAATCATACACGTATTTTAGCTCTCAAAAACAACTTCAGCTCTCTGAAAATTTCCTGAGTGTTCAGTCCTTGTTCCCGTTCGCCGGAACTCTCGTTTGTGTGCTCAAACGTTAGTTTGTTAGCCACCGTATCTTGGGAAACAGTCGTTGCAACGCTCCTAGCACCGTGGGAGGCGACGAATACGTTTTAAGAACATCGTGCGTAGCACGAGCTCTGGCTAAACTCTGTTCCATCTTATTTCTGTTTTTCTTTAGCTATTTAAATTAATTAATTATTTTTATTAATTAATATTTCTTCGTTTTTCCGAGACACACCCAACAATCTTAAAATGTATTCCGCAATTGTGTTACTGTGGTAAACAATCTTAAAACGTATTTTTCCAAGCTTGTATCACACGAATAAAATCTTAAATCGTAGTTTGTCACTTTGATGAACGAACTTATTTTTTTGTGTTTTCGGAAAATGTAAGAAAACGTTAAAATGGCTTCACAAGAAATTGGAAATGTTGGTGGGCAGAACGTGCCAAACGATAATCACTCTAGAAGTGGAGCACTGGTGAATAAAGGGTCACAATGCGGTGCATCTACTTTGGGCAACCAAGGGGCAATCCCTATGGTTACCGTGCCGAACAACTCTGTGGAGAAACCAGAAAAATTTAATGGGTTAAACTTCAAGAGGTGGAAGCAAAAGATGCTATTTTACCTCACTACTCTCGGTCTTGCTAGGTTCTTGACCGAAGATGCGCCGGTAGCAACCGGGGGTGAGGTGGATGCGCAATCTTTCAACGTGGTTGAAGCTTGGAAGCATTCTGACTTCCTTTGCCGAAACTACGTGTTGAACGGACTGCATGATGCTTTGTACGACGTGTTGATAAGCACAATAATTACTTATGTTTTACATAGGTAACTATATTTAT